AAAACAAGTAAGAAGGCTAAGGAGTGTTTCAAAATAAGTATACATGGGTAAAACTTAAAACTGATGAAGCTTAAAAAGAAAACTTATTTTTACTTTTGAATAGATTTGAGATGCAAGCAGACATCTCATACCAAGCAATTAATGTTGGTTTTTATGTGAAGACTGGATCAGAAAGGAAACAAGCTTTTACTCATGTAAGGAGGGCGGGGGCAGAAGTACACAAGTTTTAGTCCATAAGGAATGTATAGCTTACTAAAACTTGAGAATGCATATTGATTACATTTATTGACCAAAACCCATCTTTTTGTTCATACAAAGATATTTCTGCCTTTTAAAATAAGTTCAATCCAGTGAAATTCAAATCTTTGGATAGAAGAACTAGTCTATTTCTGATCAGTTCTAATCTGTCTCACCATCACAATCCAACCTTTCCCATAGACTCATCTGTGGAACTAGCAATTCTTTAATATATTAAATTTCTTAATGAGATTGCAAATGTTATGCATTGACTTAACTAATAGTTGAGTCAGATCACTTGGTAGACATGAAAATGATGAAAGCAGACAATAAAGAGCATAGTTTGAGCTTTAGTATTTGTCTTTTACTATGATTTGTTTCACATGCAGACAGAACCTGTGACTTCTTTGCTGAGAACCCACTTTTATATCTTCTAACTATTCCCCACATCTCTATTTGGAACACCATGTCTCCATGTACTTTAAATCAGCACGCTGAATTTACAGTCCTTAGAAAAGTCAACTTCTAACAGTTGATATTTCCTAACTTTAACCAAAGCAAAGCTGGCAGTTTAGTAATGAAGCTTTTTTAATGTACAGGAATAGCAGACAAAAGTATTCCAGTAAAGAGTTTTAGACTGTTAGTTTTATTTAGTTTAAATTACAAAATATTTCTATCTGCTCTATGAAAACACTATCATAAACAAAGCAGGTGTGAGGTGGGGAGAAAAACCTTTGCAGCAGTGCTTGAATGTGTAACTATATATGGCCTAAAGAAGGCTTATTTGCTCCTTAAGGTGTGTAAAGAATTTAGTACCTTAAAACTATTAGAGATTACTCTTATTTATGGAGTGAAAAATAGTCTACTCATAATTGAGGTCAGATCATGTTTTCATGAACTAATGATCTCTTTGGTAACAACTCAAACGTGTTGCAAAGTGATTTAGCAAAAATGTATGTTATGTGGTTTATGAAGTTCTGCAATCACTTGTTGTCTTTTACATAACTACATTAAATAAACAAGTTAGGTTTTTTTTCCTCATCTGTGTTTGAAAGATTGCATATATTTTGGTTTTGGACAAGATTAAGAATAGGTTTTTTGCTGGTTTTTCTGCTCTCAGAAAGCATGGCTGAGTCTCATTCGTGCTGTGTCACTAACTTCTACCTACCATATACTTTGCTGACACTCAATTGCTATCACTTGCTTCAAACTGCTGTCTGGAAATGAACCATGGATCTTTATTTTTTGTACGCAAGCACCACTCCAGCCATGGCTGAGTGATGATTTTGTTGAAGTAGTGATGCAGAACAGAATACTTAACTCTCCAAGTCTCTACCCATTCTGCCGTGGATAAGGACTTTTTTCTTCACAGGTTTCTCCATAAAGCCAGGTGACGGACAGCATTTATGTGGAGAGTTGAAAGACTTTGATTGCTTACTGATTAGAGGAAAATCCTGCAAGAATGACTTCTATAAAGAAGGCAGATGAGGAATGCTCTTCTTGTCATGAACTGGAAGAGAAACAAGAATGTAATGAACTAAGCAATGACAAAGTCACCTCTGAATTTTGTTTGCATATGTATAAGAGAAAGGCCTTGAGTTAGTAACATGACAGGATGCATCAAAACACTGGACAGTATGCTATATCAAGAGAGTGCTGAGGACTTTCATCTTCACATTTCTGGGGTTTATCCAACTCTTGCTTTAGCTTCTGGTGAGGACTATCCTTTGAACACAGTAGTGGATGATCTCAGGGCTAATCTAGTGTGCCATTGCATAGTCTCTATACCTTAAAACTGCTGGATTTTTATTTGGTTTAGAAATTATGAAAAAATAATTGGGGTGAGGGGGAGAAAAACCCAGATCAATAATAATAAAGACTCATATGTAACTGAGGTTTCTACTGTACTATGACATAATTCTGTAACTGTGTTCTCAGTTCTTCTATTTCTTGCACTTCTGATCAAGCAGAACAGGCTAAAGATGAATTTAAGCTACACTCTGTCCCTTTGAGGGGTTTGCAGGCTAAAACCAGAGCATTCTTTCTACTGGGATACATAGAAAGTTAGGTCAATGTTGAATAATGTATTACCAGAGTGCGATAGCTCAAGGTAACTGCCCGTCTTCTCCCCCGCAGTGTCCTGTTTTGCACATACAAATTTCCATCTTACAGCAACTTTACCTCCTGCTCTTCCTATTGCAATACAGTCAAAAATACCGGAAGAAACCCATTTCCCCTAATTTCCTTTAAATTTGTATTAAATAGACAAATATGTATTATTTATATATCCTACAGAAATATGTGTGTATATATGCATATATAAATATATACATATATATAAACATTTTCTATTTATGTGCTCTTTTTACTGTATTGCTTGTTTGGTTAGTGTTTGACCATAACCAGGACTGTTAAGAACTGACATTAATTGTAAGTAATTACATTTATTCTAAGATATAACTTGACATTATTAACATTATTATTGATTATACCTGTGTCTCTACAAAGCATTTAATAGGAAAAATACATATTCCCTTCCTACTGTTGAAACAGATGTAGAGAACCATTCGTTCTCTATCTTTTCCACATGAAAACCTCCTTTGAAAAAGATAAGCAGTCTGTGGTCATGTTGAAATATGCTGTTAAATACCAAGAGCTGCTAATACATTTTTAAGTGGCTGATATAGCTTCCTAATCAGGAAGTTTCCACTATTTTGTACATTGAAATACTACACTCCAAGGAAATAGTGACTATTTAGTAACTCTCTGCATTTGCTGTAAAATTCATACTTAGATTTCTTTCAAACAAAGATCAGATATAAAATTTGACTTCTTCAGGGTCACTTGTTTTCCCATAGCTTTTAAACATTTTCATTTTGTGCATAAACCAATTTTAAAGTACTCTGAAAACTCTTATAGATATTAATGTACTCAAAATAGAAAACTAGTCAGTGAAGAACAAATGAGTATAGTTATACTGAAAAATAACCTCTAGATCCCTACAGCACAATTTGCTTTTTGCAAAATAAGATGTATTTACAAATTATAAAATACTTGCCCAGTGTCCATATTTTAATTTTTTAAAAAAATAGTATATAAAGGCTGAAAATGGGAAAAACGGTCACAATTTTAGTTTCAAAGCAAAATGAAGAAAGAACTCAGTGCACTTACATATACATCCAAGTGTGTCAGCCTGCAGCCAGTCAGGAAAAGCAAACTGCAGACATGACATCTCTGTGCAAACAGTAGTTACTATTGACTCAAATTTACTTAACTAAGCTCTTCAGAGTTAAAGATCAGCGAGTACAAAAAGTGATCTCTTATGTTCAGCCCAGCTATCACACTAGTAAACGCTATACACTCCTCTTGAAATAGGAGGAGGAAAACAGCTGGAGCTAGGTCATCAGACAGTTAATACTGCTCCAGTGCCAATAAAGCAGTTGTCAACCTACTGGAGTCAATTAATCAGCCCAAAAATATTTTCTCACAGTGACTTAAGATGTTTGTTTAGACAAAGCAAAAGACCCTGAATTTCCTGAACCAATGCAGCATTTCACATTTCTGTTAAAATTAATTTAATTTCAATGTACTGAAATTAATTTCAAGATAGGAGTCCTTAATTTTTATTTGGCTGCATGTAGAACTTCAGTGTATGCTTTTGACTTCCACCAGTGTCCATTACACCTGCAACAAAGCTGGCTTGGGTTTGATTTGATTAGGCATATCTTTCCTAATTACATTCTTAAGAAAGATTACGGAGATGAAGAGTGAATATACAATAAAATAATAGATTACTATGAAACACGAGAAAGAAATCCTGTGACTGTGTTGACAGTGACAAATAAATTAAAATATTATTACCTTTAAACTCTGAATATGCTGGCAGTACTTTGCCTCTGGAAAAAAGTTCTAGTGAGTATGCTACAGGCAGTTCAGTAGAATCAGCTGATAAAATGCAGCTTGTTCCCTAGCTAGGTATTCAAGACTTGCTTCCAGGAAGTTCCCTAGAGCTGGAGGCTTACATTGAGCTTGATGGGTAGCTGCATCTTTCTGTCTATTCAGCTTTAGACCTTGGAAACTCCCTCATATCTCAGTCCTGCATTTCTAGATCCTGCCAAGAAATTGCTTGTGATTAGTCTGGTTGTACTTTCATGGTCATTCTCAACCAAAAGAATTACACTATCGTAACTAACCAGCTAAAGTACGTAAAAAATAGTTTCTATTTCCTTTTTTCTTGTATCTTGTTCTTTATAAATATTATCTCAAATTAAAGGGGATGAAAATGAAATTAAAGAAAATCAGAATACATCATTCATCTTTTCTATGAAAGGGTGATGAAAACATGATGGGATTGCAGCTCCCTTTCATAGGTTTTCTTAACATTGTTTTGGGTCAATTTCAAGTGCTGCAAATCAGTGCAGCTCCTAACCTTTCAGTGAAACCATGCCAAGTTATACCAGTTCAGAATCAGGCTTATTTTAGCAATCCTCATTGTATTTAAAAAAAATAATCCTGTTATTGATGTTTTATATCAATGTAAACATTCAGTTGTTTATATCAGAACAAATGCACATTCTTTGACAATTGAACAAAATAATTTAACAAGAACTTTTATAGTAGAATAAATGTAAGAAATCTTAAGAAAGTATTGTTAGAACCCTGTGCAGTTTCTATCTTTTTGATTTGTCCAGAGTTTGTTTCCAGGTGATGTCCAATATAAATATTCCCTGTTTGAAAATTGAGAGCACCTGTGGATAGACAAATCCTTTGAAGTCACTTCAACCCTACACGACCTTCAGTGATTTCTTTGAAACCTTGAGCTGTTCTTCAGTTGGACTGATGGTCATTTCGAAGATGCATTGCAGTAGGTTCAAAAAACTGGAAGAAAAGTTTAGAGAGAAGTTTAAGCTATGGGTTGTTAACAACTAAGTTAATGAACAAAACCCACCTGATTTCTAACTTTCTCAGCAGACTCAAAATACAACTGCACTACAAGGGAGAATCCTCTTAGAATTTGATGTTCATTACCTGGATCATCAAAGCTCAACTGTAAGTATGTATGGCAATGACTGTTTTCTCCTGAACTTTATTTTTCCAGTGTCTAAACTGAAACATGATGTTAACAATACACACTGCAAGTTTTATGAATATTAACATACTGAAGCTAAATAATTTTCCAGTTCTTGTTTCTTTCTGTTATTGTTTCTTCCTATGTGACATCATTAACATCTCATCTTCTCCTTCAACTTGTTATGTAACTCTTTTTCTCCTATCATATTATGTTCTCTGCATCCAAGTAATATCCAGGATTCAGCACATTCAGTGACTTTATACCTTCCTCTGCTCCCAAATGTAAAAGCTGGCCTCTGCTTCTTTTTCTGCAGTTTATCATCAAAACTTTTAACATCATATCCTTCTTTAGTTTGATTCACTCCATCATTCTGTGTTTCATTACATTAAAAACTGTAATACAATGTTACATATAAAAACTAAGACAGGTTACTTTAGAAAGAAGATGGGTAAGAAGATGTGAGAACAGCATATGCTTGTGAATGATATGGCAAAGGTAGGCTAAGTACTTGTATTCTTCTCATTAAAAGGGCACTCTTTGCATTCTAAATCAAGAAAATTTTAAAATAAACTAAGCATGCAATTCACCTACCAAGGTCACTGTCATAAATTAGTATTCAGCTCAAGGACTTAGCAAGATTTAAAACCAAAAACAAAGCCAAAAAATGCTGTATGACAAAATAAAAAGCTAGGACAACTTCTTCTCATTTGTCAGATAGGTTTGTTCTCCTTTCAAGAACTTCTCTATTTGGCTAATCTAGACAAATGTGTATTGTTTGTTACTGTATAGAGCTTTTTGTGGATGGCAGATATTACTGTATCCAACAGAAGAACATGCACCATAGAAACATGCTTGTTCCATTTTGCATGTATAAATCATGGGGATGTCACATCTTCAAACCTTCCATCTAAATTAATTACAAACTGACCTTACGTAGTGAGGGAGTAAGTCCTCGTAGAGTAAATTTAATGCTTTATTTTTTTCATATTATAAATGGCACAGTGATATGGCTATAGTTAAGCATCTGTCAGCATTACAGTTATAAAACCTTTTGAGAGAAAGAGGGGCTTATCATACAAGTATCAGTATTTTCTGTGGTCCAAAAACTGGGATCTGTTATTTCAGCTGGGGATTCTTTCATATACATATTTTCAAGTACCTCCTTTTTTCTACTTTGATGTTGTCCTTTGGTTATATTAGGTTCTAACAACATGCTGTCTAGCAAAATGCAGGCAGAGAACTACATTAGCTTCACTTCTATACTTCTACCAATATAACTGTTGTCCTGCAATGCTATTGCTACTCCACAATGCAAACCAGTTTATACTGAAATATCTTTTATGTATCAGGTTGCATGGTGGATGGCTGCTACTGAATAAGAATGTTTTCCCACTTGTTCCAATAGAGGATAGAATCATTTATTTAAATATTAAGGCCAGAAGATAATTTTATCCCCATCCACGTATAGAAAGCACTCAGTTGAAGCACTTAATTTCAACTTGGAATTTTTTTTTCCTTTTTTTTTTCATTTTTTCATTCAGAGAATGCTGCCATTTTGCTTAGAAGCGTAGCAAAAGATTAATTTTACAATGAAAGTTTGCTACTAAACTTCCTAGTTTGCTGAGCTGGACTTGATTCTTTATAAATGGAAGTACAAATACAGAGTTCAGTCTAAGATACTCTTGCTATCTGCCCAATCCTGGCTGCTCTGAAAAAGAATATTCAAATGTTTAAAGGCATACATTTTATTAGAAACACCTTCTTCATTATACAAACTTCCAAATCCTAAAATTTCTCTGTAATTAATATACTCTTAGTTTACATGTATAGTAAAAGAAAGGGTGATTAACCTGAAGTCTTCCAAAAAGAAAATGACTAAATGGACAGGAAAGAAAAAGGTACTCCAAGGAGCACTTTGGAAAGTACTCAGGCCCCAAGGTTCTTTTAAGTATTATCAGATACAATACACAAGAATGACTTCTTCATTTCTGTAACATATGGCCCATTACTTAAGCCATAAGAAAACTGCTTAGTAGTGCACAGAAATACTACCAAACAGCTTAGGAGAGCGCTCCTCATTTCATGCAACTCTATGTCATTACATTAACAAGGCGGCTCATTCTAGCCGATGCTCTGAATCCAGAACATGAAGTAAAAAACAATTCTTGCACTTCCTTCCAAGTCAAAGGAAGAGTCTGGCCAGAAGAAAAATACCTTTGATTCCAGTGCTAATAGCCTGCCTTTACAAACAGATTCATGAAATGCTTCCTGACTTATTCCATATGCACCATCCAAAGACAGTACATAGCTGTTCGGTTTAGGAATCTCCACAATGACAAACTTTGGTGAATAATGTTCTGCACTTCAAACTACACTAATCAAAACCCTAGAAAGCTGCACTACAAGAACTTGTGCACAGGAAATTTGGTTATTTCAATGAACTGATTACTTGGGGTTTTTTTCCCATTTTGTTTTTTAAACAAAAGCCAAATGAACTCAGAGTAACAACTCAAAAAAGAGAAGCTAATATACCTGAAATACTGCACAATGTGTACTTCTAAAAGAAATTAAATTTCTTAACTGAATAATACTGTACCAATATTTAATCTTTTGGGCCGGAGCCTGTGATTCAGTTGAACTGGCCTTGAAGCATTGCCATGCTTTGCTCACCTAACTTTTGTATCTCCTCTGCTTGAATGGAAAGACTTATATATTTTTAACATATTTTTAAAGCAGAAACAATCCTAGATTTCATTGAAAGTAATAACTGGTAAAGTGATAAAACATATCGAATGAGAAACCTAGCAATGTATATCACAATCATTATTATTTACAACTGAGTACACAAACAGGAAAATGTAATTTAAGAAGAAGAGCTTGATCAACATTTTACATAACTGTTTACCAGCTGTCAATACTGTTCTGTTTTATAAATCTTGCTGTTGCATTTCTGTCATTCTATAAGGCTACTACAGAATAATTTCTGAGTTTGTGAGCTTGCAAAAGTGGCATTTTAAAAATATTTGTAGTCAGCACGATGTCCTAGACTTTAGAAGTATTTTAAAAGCCTAGTTCTAATATAACTATTAATATGCCAGGTTCAGTGTAAATATTTCATCACTACCAAGGGAAATGGCAACTATGTTCCAAGTATTTCTAGATCCAAAATGTGAATAGTTGAATGAAATCACTGGAGTTATGGCAAGCTACACAAGCTGAGGAACTGGCCTCTAAACAGAAGCTGTAATGATTATACATGAGCTTTTTTGATACTTCCCTTCTCTGATTGAGACAAGTAATTTGCACACATAGTCAATATTTTAATAGCAGGATCAGTAACTCTGGCACAAATGTTAAATTTAGCATTGGGCAGATTTTGAGTGGCCAGGAGTTAGCAGCTGTGACCTCTTGAGAGAGACATCTGCAGGAACATTTGTAAGAGATAGTGCCTCCTATCTTCCTGCCCTCCTGATTTCATATAAGCTGCTTGGCAGCACACTCCGTCTTTGAGAGACAGCGTTTTCCAGATCATACTAGTAGTAAAAATTCAGCAAAATTAGGGGCTAGTAGCCTCTGCTTCAAGCAGAGGCAAGATGCCACCAATCAGCTGATCAGCACTGTGTTGTTACTTTGAACTGCAACATCTCTTGGCTGTCCATGAGATTTCCTTTGGCCGGCTTTACCTCTAATCTAGGAAATAAAGGTAAAATCTGCTCACCACTCATACCAGATTGCCAGCCTCTGTTTTTATTGATGTAGGGACTTTGTGCATTCAGTACTATCTAAATACCATCATTATCTCTCTAGCTGTCCTAAATAAAGCTAAATGTACCAATCATAGTGACTGCAATATACAGTGAGATTCAAAAACGCTATGGCAACGAGGCAAATGAATATATTTTTTACTGAGCAAATGGAACACCATTAGCTGTATTTAGGCAAAAGGGAAAAATTAGAGAATTAAAGCATTAAAGACTTAAAGTTTAATGACTAATCACTGACTGATTATTCTAGACATGCTCAATTTGCAGGGCACACATCTCTTCTGGACCTCATGGATATCTAAAGACATGATCAGTCTCTGCCTGATTCAAACAAACGTAAGCAAAGAATTTAGCAGCTTTATCTGCATAAAACAGTTCAGCTATGTGAAAAAACAGGAAAAACCAGTGCTAAAATGTATAAAACCAGGGACTCCTGATTCACAAACTGTATACTGCAGTTGTCAGTTCTTCACACTACGGATAAATGTTTAGAATGAATAAGAAAGTTTTTTTGGGGAGACTGTTATCTTATTACCTCACTGAGCAAACCTTAGGAGATATTACAGTTCTTATCTCCTTCAGTGCATTGCTTCAACAGATAATTCTGCCATTCCTTACTGCAGATAGGAAGATTAAGAAATGGAAGATTTAAGATTAGTTTGTTTGCTGAGAATGGCGTCATACGTTGTCTTACACAATGTGTTCTGCACAGTGCAACAAGGCATAGAGATAAGTGTTTACATTTCTCATCTTCAGATAGCCTTTCTGCCTTGTACTGAGTGCCACTACTACTGGAAGCCACAGCTGATTTTTTTTTTAGAGAAAGCTATTATCAGTAACTTTCCTCAGAAAGGGCTGATTAACTGGAGTTGCAAGAGTAAATGAACAATTAAAATAATATTGGTCAAGTAAACATATTACATATTATAAGCAAGTATTCAGAAATTCTACCACTCACTTCCATAGTGTCTTTTGAAAGATAAACGACCCAGTATACCAGGTTGAATCCTGCAAATGCCACTGGAAAGAGGATCCTAGAATACTGGTCTATTTTACTTGTGCCTCCAATAGGTGGTAGTGGCGGTGGGGCTGGTGGAGGAACAGACGCTGTTTGACACTGAGATGCACTATTTGATATTATGCTGGCTTCAGGAGACTGATCTGCCTGAGATGTTACGGAGTTTACTCGCTTCTTCAGGTTACAATTGGAGTCAGAATGCTGTGGAGGAAAAAAGAAAAAAGGAGAAAAAAAAAAAGGGTGATTTTTGGATACAGAACCCTAGGTTTTGTGATCATTAGGCTTCTCTCCACCTTTTTACTCAACTTTCTGATTTTATTGCTGCTTCTCTGCTACAGAGCAACCTAAGGAAATCACAGAAATAATGCAAATATACAGAGGCACATTTGTGGCCTTAAAGCTTTGCTGCAAAGACATAAAAGTGTATGTGCTTTCCATATTTTTAACATGCTAATAAACAGAATCTAAAAGAGAGAAAGAAAAAGAAAAGATTGAGCTAAAAAGAAAAGAAAATAAGTTAATGGTGTATCTAAATTGCAATATATTGGTATGACTGAAGTTTATGTAGATATGAATCAAGTTTAAACAAAATAGCACATACGGGCTGGCTCAAGTGCAGTCTTCACTGTGTGAACCTATTGATGAGTTCTGGTAAACACTCGCTGAATGGAGTCAAGCTGTCACACTCTTATTAGTCCCCAAACTAGCTGCTGATGAACTAGAAAAGTGCTGCACAAAAAGAAATAGACTAACTTTACAGGTGCTGAAGACATGAATGCTAAATTTTCCTGTAGTTTTTTCTAGGATGAAATTTCATTCTCAAATATCTCTCATGATTCCCACAGCAGTTTCATGTATACTACTGAAGACAAATACTCATCCTAACTGTAATGGGACTATTTTTACTTTCATTTATGGTAAAATGAAACCACATTATTCCTATATTTTGTGCAATCTTCATAGCCAGGTCCAAGCTGTATGAAAACTCTTAAAATTTAGCCAGACCTCAGGAACGTTTAGAGTTTACCTCTTAGTTGCTAGGCTGTCATGTATATTCATTATGTACACCTGTTTTATTTGTGGCCAAGTTGCCATTTTTTTACTTTTGTAAGAGTAGAAGTAATAGATTTCTTCCTTGCAGCAATGGCTTAGGAATAGGACCTACCACAGGCTCTAAGCCTGCTCTAATGGATATCAGATACCCACTTTCACAGTAGTATCAAATGGGAGGAAATTTTCAAAAATCTTGCTGGTACTGCCACTACCCAGGACTACCGTTAGTAATGTCAATGCATGGCAGCAGCCATAAGATTCGTCTGATAGCTGAGAAAATACAGAAGAGTGCCTAGAGTGTCAGGTTGGTTTTTATTGTTTTGATATGAAGTACTCAAGTTTTCTTTTAATAGGGTGCAATAGAAATACCTTTGACTCTAAAAAGCAATGCTAACATACAACATTTTAGTTGAGTCTAAAGCTTCATCAGTAAAGAACTGCAAAACTTATTTCCAGATTATGGATGAAAAATCTTGTGCACAAAATTGCACAACATACGCAGCTATGCTTGGGTTTGAATAAGCAACTTTTTTGGTCAGCAGAACTAGATGGCCGAATGCCTGAAGCTGATGAGGAAGTTAGACAATGTAAACAACTTACAATACAACAGCATATATATCTATTGTAAAACAGAATAGTAACATTTGAATGGTTTTAAGGTAGGTAAATTCTGTTAGATATGCAATTTCCAAAGTCATTCTTTGCGAATGATTTAGTGACAATCATTCACTTTAATGTAGCCCACTGTCAGCATTTTGGGGATTTATCTTGCGGGATTTCTATGTATGGAAACAGATTTTAGTCAATCAGATAAATGACTAGGTCGTTAAAAGGAAAAGAAGCATTTGCTGAAATACACTGCCTATATTTGTACTTGGTACACAATTTCTAGATAAAAGACTAGCCTAACACCTGGTATCTCACGTATAACTTAAAACAGAGTTATAACAGGAATTATGCTTTTAGTGGTCAGTGTCACTGCCAGAGTATAAGAACAAGTGACATTGCTACAACATGATGCCAGGTTCTGCTCATGGATGAACGGACTGGTATCCAGCTGAAATTAGGGAGAGATGGAGTCCTCACAGCTGATTTTAGTCTAAGTAAAAGGTAGAGAGAACAACATCTTATTTGCAAAAAAAAAAAAAAAAAAGAAAAAAAGTTCTTTTCCTGTATATGCACCTCTTTTATCTATTGCTCTTTTTCTTTCCCTCCAACCCATCAACACTTCCAACTTGTTATGTTTTGAATGGTTATTAAATGGCATTCATGTTCTGGGGCTGTGCCTATCTGGAACGTAGATGTTTGGTTTTGTATATTCCAGTAACACAGCAAGCAAAAGACAGATTTAAATGGAGGGTGATCTACAGATGTGTCACAGAAACAGAAAGAGGGTTATCCGTGTCCACTTGCACTAATCATAATAATAATAATCCCACTCTATAAACAGACTGACTGACAAAGCCTGGGCTACTGCTTTGATTCAAGTTGCTCTTCAGTTTTGCTTGTATGCCCTGCTTTGAACTGAATTGTAGAAGTTGTAAGGTAGCTTGTTTTTCACTTTACTGCAAGATAGCTTAACCTTTTGTGGAGAATGAGTGGCTCCTAAATATATAAGTGCTAAGATGAATCTTAGCCCTTTTTATATGCAGTGTTCTGGTATAAGGTGGGTCAAATTCTGCTCTGGATCATTCAAGCATGAATCGGGAGTTATTGTACTGAGGTGATGGAGTTAATAGTAGGCAGAACAGATGTAGCATAATGTCTGTGGCTGATGTTCAGTACTGAACATATTTAGAATGTAGAGGTATTAAAATCATTGTGATCATCTGAATAGGCACTTGGAAAAGTGTAATCCTGGTTGTTATTTTATTTATAGTATTTATTAAATCTCATTCCTGTAGAAGGAGAATTGCTATAGAAGGAGGATTATCTCAATGTGATTTCATCTGAAGTTGGGGACAGGAAGATCTGGAGTCAGTATGTATCCTCAGAACTTGAGGAATACACTAACTAACTTGATTATGCTCCCATTTTGGGGCCAGTTTAGGTCCATTTCTATCAATGGAGTGATATTAATAACTTCTCATGACCTAAAATAGCTTATTCCAATATTCAGGAAGGACCAGTGCATTTTACTGTTTCAGTAAAGCCACAGTTTTTTGTCATGCTCTTTACCTGCTGAGGAGGTGGTTTAGAGTTGATATAAATCATTAAGAAATTCCTCAAGTAGTTCTTTACACTGTCTTTAACACCCTCGTGTGCCCATACAGCAAGTCAGGGTGAGGACTATTTTCTTGTATAGCACTAGCCAGGATATGGAATTCTAAGTCCAGATTTATCTCAGATGTGTAATGAAGATGTTTCTCAGTGTGGTAGCTGACTGTAGACCAGACTTGCTGCCCCAGAACCACAACTCATGTTTTTCATTGGAATTCATTGCTAAACTAAGAGGAGGAGGTGGTGAGAGGAAACCATATAGTTTCTTATTACAGTTGAGTTCTGAACAGCAGCTTACAGTCATTTGTCTACTATGTTTAGATTTAACTTTTCCTTTTGACAGATTACCTACAATGACATCATCGTGAAACTTCAGCAAAACACAGACAGAAAACAGGGATGAATAGCCTATTTTGCGTAGTTCACACAGCCAATCACTCAAATAGTAAGGATTGTTTTACAAGTAGCAAGAGCAACAAGAAGAAGCCTGAGGCATGGCACACTGTGTCATAATGAAATTATGACTTCTGTTAAGTTACTGAATCCTGATTCAGAGGAGTCCTCTTGCACTCATGTGGAATGTTAGTCCCATCAGGCAATTAAACTTGTCACTACGTATGACTACCCAGTGACACAGAACAGATTGCAAGATCACTTTTTAACGTGAGATACCATAGAACTGGACTAGACATTGACTGGTATGTCTATGAGCTATTAAAGTACAGTCTGGCTTCTGCAGCTCAGCTCTCTGATCCCCTAGAAAGCTCACAAAGCAGACTTGTCTATAAAGGTGCTGCTCTCACAACTCTCATCAGTATCATTAGAATTTGCTTATGCTCAGAATATCTCCGGAGGCTCTCGGCCAATTGCTTGCCTTACAGATTTAAAAAAATACAGCACATATAACCTTAGAGTAAACGGAATTCTTTGTATGCTTTTTCTGATTTTTATATGGATGCTAACTGTGATTTATGAATGTGCTTTGGTTTTATGTTTCTTTTCCTCAAGAGATTTCTGCAATTCATATCTGTAAAATTCTCTACTGTTCTCTGTTCCTTTGTACTGCAAATACATACTCTCACTATCAGTTTTGTTTATGACCAAGCAGTAATATGGGTATCTTATGTATGCACTCCGATTCTGGCTAAATTTAAATGAGTTCATATCTGTATGGCCTTACTTCTCTCTCTTTTACTCACTTATGTCCGTTTTTCCTGCAGGCAATGCAGAGGTTCATGAGAATAAACTCTAAATGTTTAGACAAAAAATGTGTTATTCCTCCTTTTCTTTATAATTTATTGGATTAAAGATATTGAACTTTGCTGAGATCACAAAACACACAAAAAAACCCCCAGAAACAACAAAAAAACCTAGGACCAAAACTCAATGTCTGTACAAGGCAGAATACTAAATTAAATATATAACATTTTCCCTGCCCATCTCATTAGTAGATACAGTTTGAGTAATTTCAATCATTCACATTATACACATAAAATCACATGCTAGTGACTTAGCTCCCAAAGAGGGAGTTAAGCATAGTTTAGTCCCTACATTCAACACTATGATCTGAAAAACTCTGCTTAGCTACTGAACAACCCATACGCAGCACCTTGGAGCAGGAAAAGTTCACCACATTATGTAAGACCTCCTGGTGGGGATGCACTAAGGTACCTCAATCTTTACAGTCCTGGCAGTTTAAGTATCCATCTCTTGCCAGAGGTTCATTATAACCTACAATTTAGACATTTCTTTGCATATCTCATCTGTGGGATCTGATTCAAAAAATGTTTATTGCAAACATCTATAAACAGTGTTCTGCATAATTAAAAGCTGAATATAGTTTGGAAGTCATTAACAGTCCTAACTTCAGGCATCTCTTTAGGAATTCTAAGTTTCCTTTCCTAGAAATATTATGAGGAATAACATGC